ATCGAAGCAAAAACTATCAAATATAATAATCCAAATAATTTGTCCATAAATTTATCATCCACGACATCTGTTTCTGATTCACTTAAATAGAAATCAAGCAAATCTTCCTATTAATTAAAATAATAATAATTATTATTATTTGAAAAATTTCTTTAAGTAGGTTAAATTTAAAGAGATAAGATACTTTTTGAATATATTTTTCACCAAGTTCTTTTCTTTGGCGGATGCGTTCTTCGGCAATAGGTTTGCAACGTTGAACAAAAAGATCTCTATGTCGGCTTATTGGATTCCATCCGAATTTTAGTGGTAACCTATTAGAAGAAGACTTTTTAAGTAACAGATTCATAAACCAAAGTAGAGGTTTATAAATACAGATCGTTATTGGTCGACCATCATACGTGACAAAAAATTTATAAAGCGAAGGATGAATGAATAATAAAAATGGTGGAGCAAATTTCATCTTATTTAATTCACTGTCTACTATTGCAAATGAAATTACAATGTCTTCAAATTGTGCAACTTCCTTTAAGATTAAAAATAAATTAGGATCATTATTATAAACGAAATTTATATTTGAATATAAAACTTACTTCACCAAGAATAATATTTGCGACTGGTTTGGCGATTATTTGTGCTTATCACTTTTCGAATATTTTTGATAATCTTTGGTTCTGAAAATTACTTATTCATTTTAAATTGTGCTTAGATAATAATCTCAAGCAATAAAAATATAATAAATTTAAAATAAAGGTACAATAAAGTTAAAATAAAAGTTTAACAAATACCTCTACAATCACCAATATACTTTTCATCCCCGGATAAAAGTTCTTTTTGCATTCTTGATGTGTAAATATTAATTTTACCACTGACTTGTTCTTGAACCACTCGGGCCATATTTGGTGAGTGATTTTCTTTCATGAATTGTTTGAAAACTTCGGCAACTGGAAATATCTGTTATGATAGAAATAAATAAAAGATATTTATAATACAATATTTAATTTAGCAGTAAATTGCTTTTGAGACTAGAATTATAATTTCAGTCGACCGTAGTTGCACTAACTAGAATTACTATTTAATTTCAGCCATTGCTACTTCAAAAGAAGTACATAGTGACATCATGGCATACATATATTTCGTATTTAGAGACAAAATGGGTGAACATTACTATAAAACCTGTCATCGGGCTTTCAATGTTCAGTTGGCTCTCTGCATGCTATCAATATGGACGATTTATTCCGATGATAGACGGCATACAGAAAACCAATTGAACATTGTGACAGGTTTTCTATTGACAGCACTCATATTTGCGTATGTACTCACCTTATTTACAGCTACAACAAAGTCAAAAACGTCAGAATGCCTTAGGACTTCAGGGTGCTATCAGCCCCTGTAAAAGTTGTTACACTTCCAAAGATGTATAAACTAAATGGTTCACCATACTTTATTAAAAATAAAAATGATTATTGAATTGTCGAATCAAAGAAGCAATAAATAAGTAATTGTATTTTACCTTTTCCTTACATTCCTTGAGAAAATTTTCAGAGTCATGTACAAAATCATATGTATGCCCAATTATTGGAAACCGATATGGTACTAGTGGTGGTTCATTCTATGAAAAATGATTTTTTGTTACAAAAACAAGATAATAATAATAATGATGATAATAACCATTATATAAAATGAGACTGTTTACCAAGCCTATTCGAGGTCGCTTGATCAAATGAAATATAAATGCAACAAAAAATAATAAACCGAAAATATCAATGTATGCCATTTTTTTTTTTTTTATGGAGAGGAATTATAGTAATAGCTTATATTTTTCTTTGATTTTGAAGAAGTTACAATAGCTTATATATATATATATTGATGGAATGGAAGTTATAACGATGACTTATATATATGTTTTTAAGGATGAATTAATTCATGTCTGACGTAGGTACTTTTGCCTAAAATTTCGGCAAAATAAATTTTCCTAGGATTCAGATGTTCACGGCCCGGTGTTACCATTTAAATATTCATTCAAGATCTGTTAGTATGAATAGGCTAAGAAGTGGCCGGATTGGTATTACCGGTTTT